TGAGACTTAAATACGCATAAACACACGTGGTCACCTCCATTCCCTCCTGTCCCCCCCACCTGCTCAGGGAAGACATGGCCGGGGTGGAGCCCTCTGCAAGACACTTCTGTTTCTTTCAGGGGGCAGCCAGGATTGGCTACTGCTCTCAGGTAGTGGGAGAGGCAGAGGCGGGTGCGGGGGTGTGAGGGGGGAGGGTGGGGCAGAATCCTGGGTCTGAGGGAGGCGAGGACTGGAGGCCTGGGTTGGGGGTCCCAGGGGACAAGGGTGGGCGGTCCCCACGAGATCCATGACTCCTGCCAAGGTCTGCAGTTGGGAAGCATTTATTATAACTAAGTGGCCATGACAGAGCAGGGAGGGGGGAGGTGACGCCGAGGCTGCCACAATCAGTCCCCTAGAGGCAGTGATTAAGGGCTCATTACCAGTGGGGCCAGTGAGTGGGTGGGAGCTTGGAAAAGGCAGCAGGGAGAGGAAGGAGGAAGCGCGGACACTCCCAAGGGGGAGGTTGAGGCAGGACCCTCCCGGGAATGATTGTGAAAAGGGCTGGTTCCAGGGAGCAGGGGAGACACTGCAGCTGGGAGCATAGCAGACGGGGGCTGGTCACGGCTTCTCCAGCTGGACGTCTCCGATGTGGAGGCTGCCCACGTCCTGGTAGGTGCCCTGGAGGCCCCGGGAGATGTCCTCGTACATGGAGCAGTCATCAAGGTTCAGGCCCTGGGGTGCACACGTGGTGGTGGGTCTCAGTGTCCTGATGCCTGGGCCCCTACCCCAGAGGACCCCCAGGAGGCCCCCAACGCACCTGCTCCGAACCTGTCCCCACCCGCCACTCACCTCATAAAGGTTTTCATCTTCGTAATCATCCCGGGTGTCCACCCCGAACTTCATGTTCTGCCATCGTTTCTGTGGGGGGGTGGGAGTCTCAGTGGGTAGGGGGTATGTTTTCAGGCCCTTCTAGATGTCAGAAGGGCTTTCCCAGAGCCAGTAAGGGACCTTGCTCAAAGCCACACACAGTATTGGTAAGTGGCACGGCTCTCTGGGCCCAAGCCAGTGTTCCTTTGGCTGTCTCCACTGCCCAATTGTTCTCCATGAATCACAACATCAGTAGTAAATAGCTATGGTTGTCCTGTGGCCTAAAGAAACTGCAGGTCACAGCGGCTGGGAGGATCCCCAGCCCCCATCTTCCCTGGCCTTGGCTACATCTGGATGGCTATAGCACTCCTGTGTTGGGGAGAGTAAAGCACCCTGAGGGGGTGGGGGTGGGGGTGGGGGTAGAGTGAGAATATCCCTAGGGAAGGGCAATGATGACAGCCATGGGGAGACTGAGCAAGGGCAGCGCCCCAGCACCATGTAAAATCCTGTCATTGTATTCATTTGTTTACCACCCATGCGCCCCTGTGTGTGTGTGTGGGGGGGGGGGGGGCGGCGGCTGTCATTCTCCCAAGTTTTGGGCGGGAACCCTCAGACTACAAGGGCCTGGTCCCAGGCGGCTCACCCTGAACAGCAGCAGTGTCCCGGGCACCACAGCGCAGAATAGCAGGATGATCCCCTCCGCTGTGATGATGTTGTTCTTGGTGCCCTCCCCCATGTCCAGGAAGGGTCTGGGGGCCGGCTCTGTGTGGAAGGGGGTGCTGCTCAGAGCCCTGGCTCCTGGCCCTGTTCCCGGCCCCGCCCCTAGCAAGGCCCCACTGAAGCCCCCACTCTGCAGGTGAGAAATGGGTACGTGTGTGGGAGCCGGGAGCAAGGATGCCCGTGATGCAGGCACTGGCTCCCTCCCCCCTTCCCAGACAGGAGGCCTAGAGTCCCTGGCACTCACCACGCACACGGAGGTAGGTGCCACAGGAGCGCCATTCCGTCTTGTTTTCCAGAGCATGGCACCTGTATAGGCCTCCGTGGCTCTTGTTCACCGATGAGATGATCAGCTCACCATTGCTCTGGCCCCAGTCATGGAACTGAGCGGGCCATGTGAAGTTGCTTTGGAGGATTCGCCACCAGGTGACGTTAGGGCGGCTGCCGTTATGCAGGCACGGGAGGCGGGCCTCCTCCCCCAGGATCACCGTCACCGATGGTGGGCCCCTATCTACCCACAGGGTCTGGCCCCCTGGGCCTGCAAAGAGGCAGGTGGCTCAGGGACTGTGGATGGGATCACAGGCCCCAACCCCAGCCTCTGCAGCTGCAGCACTCCTGCGTGTGCAGGGGGAGTATGAGGACCCTCCTGGGGGAGAACAGGGAGGTGTGGGGTACAGAGGACACACGGTGTTGGGCAGGGAGTGAGGGGGCACCTAGGGAAGGAGAGAAAGGTACCCCTGAGAAGAGAGAGGACATACCTTGGGCGGGGTGGGGTGGGGGGGATTTGAGGACGTCCTGGGGGAGGAGAGTAAGATACCTGGATGGTGACACAGCCCCGGGTGCCCGCTCTCCAGTGCCACCTCTTGCATTTGGATACTTAGTTCCCTGGTAGCAGAGGGCCCCTGCCCAGGCAGCGACTTCCAGAATCAGTTTGGGCATCACCTCCTCCTGAAGGCTTTCCTGGTCTACATTCCTGGCCCCAGCCCAGCCCCACACTTGACACTATCTTTCATTTTCAAAAAACCCTTAGAAGAAGGTTCTCTCCTTATGCCATTTTTCAGGTGGGACAGCAGAGCCCAGGGCAGCAGGAGTGGGGAGGAGGGGCGCTAGGGGAGGGCCAACACCAGGCCTCCTGGGCCTCTTCCTGCCAGTGTTGGGTCTGCCTTGTCTGGTGTCTCTGAGCCCGCCCCTTATTCTCTGTAACGTGCACGTGTCAACCTGGGGGTCAGAGGTTGAGTTTAGTCCTTGGGCTGGGGGTTAGGGGAGCATCTCGGCAGTGTGGGTGGTTAGAGGGAGCTGGTGGCCCAAACGCGCTTGTGTCCCCCCAGCCCCAGCTATCAGAGCCAGTCCATATGGCTGCTCCGCCTCCTCTGGGGAGGGAAGGAGGGAGTTGAGGAAGAGACAAGAAGGAAGAAGTGGGGCAGAGGCAGCAACCTCAAGGTCAGGGGCTCCATTCCTGGCTCCCAGTGTAACCTCGCGTGACCAGCTGCCTCTCTGAGCTCCTGGGTCAAACAGGTGGTCAGAGCCCTGACAGCTGGGGTCGCTGAGGGAGGATGGTATCATGAGGCACCCCACCCCCAGCACGGAGAAGGGGCTCCCTGTGCAGGGGGTGACTGGGATTCCAGGCAGAGAAAGGGAAAGCTTTTTCTTCACTCTGAAGCTGAGTGTACCCCAAGGTCCCCTCCTGCCCCCAGCTCTGAAGCTCAGTCAAGGGCAACCCTAGTTCCTCATTTTGACCTGAGGGACAGGGTAGGGAAGGCACTCTGGCTCCTGCCTCCCTCCCTGAGGTGGCAGATGCCCCTTTAACATCACTGAGCCCCCTCCAGCCTCCCCGAGGCCTGTTTGGAACAGTCAAGCCCACAGACAGATGCAGTTTCTACAGAGGCCTTTCCCAGCTCCCCTCCTGCTGTCTCCTCTCTGCCTGTGCCCTCTCTCCAGCCTCCCCGGTCCCTCCTCCTCTCCCAAGTACCCGCCTGTTAGCCACATACCCAGGCCAGCAGCAGAGATCAAGAGGAAGAAGATGATGCCAGGCGGCGGGACTTGCAGGACTCCGGGACCCCCAGGCATCTTCTCCCAGTGGGTTGGTCCGTCTGGCTTGCAGCAGTCCTGGGGTACCAGATCCCACCTCCGCAGGCCCCAAACCCCACCCCACTTCCTGCCCAGCCCTCCCGGAGATGGGCTTCACTGGCCCCACTGCTGGGCAGCTCCTGCCAGTGTGCTTCAGCTGTGAGCTGAGAGGAACTGCTCCCTGCACCTGTGGTGGCCACAAGTCCCCTGAGGGGAGGTTGCTTGGGTGGGGGAAAGAGGCTAGTTCAAGGTTTGGCTCCTCATTGGGTGCCTGCTGTGTGCAGGCAGTCAGGGCAGTGACTCTGAGCTTTCTTAGTCGAAGTCCCTGCTGGCCTTGGGCAAAACCTGTGCCCAGCCTGAAACTCCGTGTGCTCCCTTCGCCGGGTTGGAAATGAGGATTTAAAGGCAAGGCGTTGTGCATGCACAGCACTGAACACAGCACCTGTCACACAGGAGGTGCTCAGTAGTGTTGGTTGCTGTTAATGTTCCCGAGGAATAAATGAGGCAAGCCAGCGGCTCTATGAAGGGAAGTGGTGACTCCCCTTTCCAAACCTGTTGTTGTTACTCCTCACCCGAGGGTATTTTTTTCATTGATTTTTAGAGGGTGGGAGAGAGGGAAAGACAGAGAGAAATATCGATGTGAGAGAAACACACCGATTGGTTGCCTCCTGCATACGCCCAACCCAGGGAGGAACCTGCAACCAAGGTACGTGCCCTTGACCAGAATTGAATCCAGTACCCTTTGGTCTGCAGGCCTACACTCTATCCACTTAGCCAACCCAGCTAGGGCTCCATTGATTCTTTAGAGAGAATGAAAGAGAGGGATGGAGAGAAAGAGGCATGTGAGAGACACATTGATTAGTTGCTCCCCAACCTTGCCCTGACTGGGGCAGGGGATCAAACCAACAACCCAGTTACGTGACTGGGAATTGAACCTGTGACCCTTTGATGTAAGGGCCGATGCTTTACCCATTGAGCCACACCAGCCAGGTAAGCCTTGGCATTTTTAATCCAAGAGACTAGGATAACTCTCTGTTGTGCCATGAGATGTTCCTGGTACCCAAGGAATTAATAGCAACGATGGGCTCTTTCTTGACATTCTTGCACTCAGCCTCCCAAGCATCAAGCCCCTCCTTTTACAGAGCAGGAGACTGAGGCCCGGAGAGGGAATGCTGTCACTGTCACTTGTCTGGTGTTGTACAGTCTGGTGGTGGAGCGGGTTCTTTTAAGCATCATTTTAGGCCACATGGGAGGAAAATGAGGTCTGAGGGGGAGCGGGTGGGGAATGATATGAAATTGTTGAGATGTTTCTGAGCAGTTAGGGGACCATCACACACACACACACACACACACACACACACACACACGGACACATAGGAAAAACTTTTATTGCAGGGAGATTTCTGGTAGCAAAAACTGGGAAAAACCAAATGATAAGCCCGTGTGTGGAGAATGGATGCATACATTGTGGTGCCGTCAGCCGATAGAGTAGTGCACCGCAGGAGAAAGGCAGGACCTCACGTGTCAACAGGGCTGCATCGGAGAAAAAAACATGAAAATGAGAAGTTATAGTAGCATGATATGGTTGACTTGTTTTCAAAAGGCAAAACAATGCTGTGTGCTGTTAGGGACATGTGCGTCTGTAGTCAAGGTGCAGACAGACAGATGCAGGGGAGTGACACCAAGTTCCTGAGAATGTATCTCTGGCGGAAGCCAGGGGGTCGTGACTGGGAAGGTTACACAGAGGGCTTTGTCTGTCTAGATTTTATGTCTTTTTTTGTTTTATTTCTTAAATTAGGTGGTGGGCCTGTGAGTCTTTGTTACACTATCATATACACTGTTTTGCTTGCTTGAAGTATTTCATAAATATTTTTAAAAAGCAACTGTTATGCTCACAGAAGAGCATGGCCTTCAGAAGCCACCATGCCTAGGTTTGAATCTCAGCTCTGCCAGCTGGCTGGTTGCCTGAGCCTCAGTTTCGTCAGTAATCTGGGCACAATCCCCCCAGCTTGTGAGGCTGTGAGAATATCGGTGTGTTTAGCACAGTTCCTAGGACAAGTTCCTCTTCTCTGGCCAGGAGGCTCTCTCCCCTTTCCTCCAGCGACCCAGGTGTTCTGTCGGGACACTGGCTTATATAGCAGGTCATTAGCCCCTCTTGCTTTAGTTCCTTCTCATGATCCCCCTCCTAAGGAAGAAGCCTGGAATCAGAGGCTGCAGCCCTAGAAATTCACCTGCCTCATCCATCAGTGGCTGAGCCGGTTTCCAGGCCCTCGTCTGCCCCCTAGCGGCGGAGAGGCGCAGCTGCGGGATTGCTGGCCCTCTTAGGCCTGTCTGGGCATCTGCACCTTCCATCACCCAGCACCTGTGCATGGGAACCAGATCCTTGGCATTTCGTTCTCATGACAACTCTGGGAAATGTCTTCAATATCAGTCGACAAAAGACGTGATTGGGGCCAGAATGAGGAGTGACGTCGAGCCTCATGTCCCTCACTTTCGAGGGACAGTGCGCTTAGTAGATAGAGCCTGGGGCTGGAGCCTTTACCTGGGTTCAGATACTGGCTTTGCCACTCCCCAACTATGGAGTATCAGACAAATCACCCCACCTGTGACTTACTTTCCCCTTTTTCAAACTGCAGGTGCTGTTTGGCATTTACTTCACAGGGTTGCAGCGTTAATGATAATTTGCAAAGTGCCTTGCATGTGGTAGGCTGTTTATTCAGAAGTTTCCAGCACTGACAACTGAGCCGGGATGACAGTGTAGGATTCTGATTTGGTATTCTTTGAATATCTTGGTCTTAAACAGGGTAACACCGGGTTGATATTCTGCTTGCCAATGTGCTGCTCTGAGCCACAGCACCATCTACATGTGGTACCTCTGGAATCCCTCAGGAGCAAGCAATGCTACAGGTGAGGACTGGAAGGTTCAGAGCGGGAGTGTTACTCGAGTTGCACAGAATTAGGGGCAGAGTTGCCATCCGATCCCACGTTGTTTGAAATTCAGGCTTGGCACTGGAAAGAAGTGGGTGTGATCCTAAGTTACTTGGACTGGGGCCTTGTGCAAGCCAGCTCAGCTTTAGTTCTCCCCAACCAGGCAGGGCTGGTCACATGGGGACAGTAATGGGCCCTTTTCCAGGCTTGCCCATCCCTATGGCTCCATGTGTGCCCACTGGGCACCCTTTGATTCTACCACCCACACTAGGGGCCCGATCACAGGCAGAGCTCCTTGGCACCAAGAGCCCATCACTATGCAGGACCACTGAAGCTATGCCAGGTGACAGCACTCTGCCTCTGTGCAGGCACCAGCTGGCCTCAGCATCCATTACAAGTCTAGGGCAGGCTCATCTAAGTCTGTTTCAGAGCAGGGCTATAGCCACAATGCAAAAGTGAAGGCTCAGGCAGGACTACCCTGCCCACGCAGGCCAGGAAAGCAAGTGCATACCAGGCACACAGCTCAACCAGAGCTGTAAGAGCCACAGGGCGTCAGGGTTCTGTTCCTGTCCACTTCCTTCCAAGGAAACATCTCAGTACAACCCCCCTGCCCCTCCCGTGTTCCAGCAGGAGAGTGCCACTTCAGCAACCCAGACTCCAGCTGGGGCCACTGCTCGAACAGCATCTTCTTTCAGTTTCTCATTTTCTGAGAATTGCAAAGGCAGGATATGAGGGAGGTCCAAGGGTTTCTAGGTCCTGCCCCGCCCAACTCAGGCGTCTTGCCCCTTGGGGGCAGAACTGGGAAGGCTGAGCTTTAGGCTTTGGCAGCCACAGCCACCCAGGGACTCCTGGCTCCTTCTTCCTCATGCCCCCAAATGGAAGAGCAAACAATCAAGAGATCAAGACCAAGCTTATAAATGAGGCAATTTATTAACCCAGCACTTGTTCTAATGCTTCTTGTTGGCAGCTGCCACCTGTGGGAAAGATGGAAGAGTAAGTTAAAATCAGTCACGGGGTCCATGTTCCGGCACTTTGTAAGTTACCCACAGCCCAGACACCATGCATCCTGTTTTGTGGTCTCACATGTATTCTTGTCTAATCGTCACAATCCCAGGTACCTCCCCATTTTACAGAAGCGTCAACAGGCACTCAAGAGTGCTGGAGTGGGATTCCAATACTGCAAATGCCATCATACACACTGATGCCTGTGCCAGGCCCTGTGTTCACCTCTCCTCAGGCCACCCAACTCCCAGAGGGCAACACCTTCCATTCCTTTCTGACACTTGACGTTAAGTGACTAAACACTCCAAGGCTCCTAGTAGGCCTGAGTCAATGATACAGAAAGAAGGAAGCCAATATGGGTTTATGCCAGGCCCTGGGGGGCTCCCACTGCTTGTAGATCACGGAATCCTAACCACCCCAAGGTAGGCAGAAGCAGACTGCTCCACAGATAGGGAGACTGGCTGCAGCCGAAGAACTGCAGGGTGTCCAGCCAGTAATCAGGATGGAGACCCGAATTCTGAGCCAGCCCGCCTCCCTCTCTCAGCAACCACCCCATCTCGTGCCCAGTCAGCATGAAGAGTAAGGAGACGTTGATGCCAGAATCTGTGCAAGGCTGATGCCCTGCAGGAAAAGCAGCCCAACTGCACCATGGGGTTGGGTTCCCTTTACCTCAGCGCCAGCAAGCCGTCATTCAGAAATGCCCACCCCCAGAGAAGGCCTCCTCTGAACCCCCACCAGCCGGGACTGTGCCCTTCAGGGAAATTCTGATTTGACAACCACCAGGCCGGGGGGAACGCCCAGGCAGTGACAGAGGGACCCAACCCTAGCCCTCACCCAGGCCTCACCTGCCCTGCGATCCTGTCCAGATCTCTCTGTCCCTGAGGTGTCAATTTGCGGCCCCTGGGGAGAGAAGGGTCATGAATCCCTCCCAGGGTAGTGCAGGCTCTCAACCCCCCCTTTCGGATGTGAGTCAGGCTTCCCCAAAAGGCACCTGGCTATATGACCATATGCTGCCAGCCAACTCCCACCAAGGACCCCAGTGGGCTGCATTCTAAAGAGCTTGGGGCAGGAGTGGGAGCCCCCCCGGGAGCTGACAGGGTGTCGTTTGTGCAAGCATTAGATCAAAAGCCCCGAAAAATCAATTGGGCAAAGTTAACGAGCAGGCTAATGAAAGCGGACAGTCGCTAAATTACCTTCCTGGAGCCCAGGGTAGTCAGTTAGAGAGGTGGGAGTGAGGCCCTTAGCCATTTGCTTTTCTACAGAACCCCCTGCCCACCAGAGGGTCAGGTACAGACAGTGCAGAGACCTAGCTCCTCTCTGCGTGTGGGCAGTGGGGAGCTAACTTTATTATAGGTGGCTTGACCCCAAGGATCCTCATCACCCCCCTTTCCCACCCATCCTGATCCTTTGCTTACCCATCCTGATCCTTTTCCACCATTTTCAGCCCCTCCAGGGCTTGGAGGACTCTGCGGGCCACGCTCTTAGAGCCTCTGCTAAAGTGGCTGGGCATGACACCATTTCTTTGTCGTCCTCCATAGATCTTGGTCATGGAGCCAACCCCAGCGCCTCCCCGCAGGTACAGGTGCCGCGCTGTGGAAGCTGGGTGGAGTGAGAGGGAAACTTAAGGGCTCTTCTCAGGCAGAGAATACTCTTCCCCACAGCTGAGGGAAAGGCCTTGCCACACAGTCTGTGTGTGGCAGCCAACTCACCATTTTACAGCCAGGGCAACTGTGCACACACTAAACCCGGTGCCCCCCTCTCCCACCATGGCCAAGCCATGCTGCACTCTGGGCCCAGCCTAGGAGACGGACAGCTAGGCAGTGGAGGGACTGCCAAAGCCACACTGCCAAGGCTAGACCTGAAGACTGTAGATAGAGCCTTGCAAATGTTTAAGCCACAACTGTCCATCTCCATATGCCTGAGGGGCAGGAGAGTGAAGAAGGGACCTACTGCCACTTGAGTGTAGCTCTCTGAGCCCCCAGCCCGAGAGCTTGGGGTGGGGGAAAGGGGGTCAGCACTCAGATCCACGCAGTGGATGTTCCCAAACTGGCACGTATATCATCCCCTCCGTGGACTGGGGATTCTCTCCCTAGATGGGCTTGGTTAAGTCCCTGGCCAGCCTCCTTGGAAACGCTCACTCCTATTCATGCGGAGCACTCAGTCGTCTGCCAGCCCTGTGCACCTGCTTTCACGTTCTCCTCCCATGAGATACTAAGATGCCTAAGGAGCTGGCCTAATGTTGTGGCCCTAGCATGTCACCTACTCTCATCCAAAAACCAGGAGTAACCGTCCCTCAGACGAGGGTTATTGCGAGGACTCCATGCAAATGTGTCAAGTGCTGTCGTCGTCTGCAGAGAGGAAACAGGCTCCAAAGGGTACTCACTGGCTTCATGCCACGGCTCTGGAGGGACAGCTCCTCCAGACGGTTTTGGTTTCCTACCTCAGGGGGCCACTGAGGTTGAAGGGCATTGCAGCCGAGGTGCACAACGTGCCCAGACTTCAGTCATCACATGGCCCTGCCTGGCTGGGAGCTGAAGGGCAGTGATGCCAGGCCACCCTAGACCCTGGAGACGTACTGCTAAGAAGCAGGTGCCGGGCCAGGTCCATGACCCTCCAGTGTTATGAACTAGGGGTGGGTGAGACGGATCTGTGGGGTGGGTTCCACCTCCCCTCCAGCTGCCGCTCCCAGAGCACTCTTCCACACAACTTGTTCCCAGCCCTCCAATCGCCTCAAACAGCCATGGGCTTCTGGGGGTCAAGAGCACAGCCTCTCTGGCCTCTGCTCACTTAAAAACCACTCTCTCCTTGGTCCTTTCTTTTTTTTTTTTTTTTTTTTTTTTTTTTTTTTTTTTTATTTTAAAAATATATTTTATTGAGTTTTTACAGAGAGGAAAGGAGAGAGATAGAGAGTTAGAAACATCGATGAGAGAGAAACATCGACCAGCTGCCTCCTGCACACTCCCCACTGGGGATGTGCCCGCAACCAAGGTACATGCCCTTGACCGGAATCGAACCTGGGACCTTTCAGTCCGCAGGCCGATGCTCTATCCACTGAGCCAAACCGGTTTCGGCTCCTTGGTCCTTTCTACCCCAACCTTCCCCTCACCCTACCCCTACACTACTGCCCTGACTCTTCCAGGCATTAAGCCACCCGCCCCCTGTGGATTAAGAGACTCACTTGGTATACACCAATACCCACAATCTTTCTACTGTGAGTGACATCACTGGAAAACTCCACCCTTACTGCCAGTGCAAATGCCTAACACCCACCACCATCCCTCCGGCGCCTGTCCCTGGGCAGAGACCTGCTTTCTCATCCAGGCTGGGGAGAGGACGTCTCAGGAAGGGGGCAAGGTGAACATTCCTAAGACGCCCAGAGGCTGCACACCTGAAAGCAGATGCCCAAACTTGGCCTTGCCTAGCCAGGATTGGCGCTGACTAGTCCCAGCCTGGGGTCCATATGGAGAGGGTGGCCCAGCTCTGAGCTGTCCAGTAGACAGTGTTTGAATTTCAACACTGCTCATCAGTCTGCCTACTTTCCAGGTTTGTGTGGTGGTACTGAAGGGGATGGCTTACTTCAATCTTGAGTAGTGACTGGCAGAGAATAAGCTCCCATAAAGCCTATTAGTTTCTTTATGGAGGGTGGGTTTACATTTCCTTAACACTG